TTCTGTTCCTAAAACAAACAGCAGAGTGCTGCAAATCTGATCTTGCCACTAGCCTACTTCCAATTGAAGTACTTGTGGTGCTGCAAATCTGATCTTGCCACTAGCCTACTTCCATGATTTAAAGATTAGATGATTTAAAGATTAGGTTTGCCTTGGCAGAAAGGTGATGCACAGGTTATGAAAGTGGTTGCTATACAAATAAAATTGCATTTCTTCCTTTTTTTGAAGGTAGGCTTTGTGCTCTCTGTCCTACCAGGTTAGTTTTACAGTTACTTTTACAGCAAGACAATATGTAATATCACTAACTAAAGCACTGTTGTTGTGTAGGAAGATGCTTAGGTAGGGGCATGCCAGTTTTCAGCCTGCTAGTACACAGGTATGGAACACAATATTTATAGCCAGATACTTGAAGTACGATGGGATACTTTTTTGCTATCAGAACATTTTTATCTAAAAACCTGAGTATCATAATTCATTATTTCTGATGTTGAAACTCTGACAAAAAAAGTATGGACAATTCCAAGTCTTTGGGCTGGAATTTAGTTTCATTCCCATGTTACGGATTAGAGTTATGGTATAGACAGATGTGGTTTTCTGTTCCCAGTACTATGCTATTTATTTGGATCAGAAAGCAATAAATTGGGTTGAGACATTTCCTAGTGATATCTGTCAATATTTTCACTTTATTGGGGCTGTATTTCTGTGGATAATGGCTGTTGTGTGGGTTGGTCTGCTGTTGCAGGGAAGAGAAAATAAAAAGCAGTTAACAGAAGGGATCTAAAGATGACCTAGTCGTTTAAATATTGCAGCTGATTTTGAAGGGAGCGTGGTATTGTAAAGGTAGACCAAGTAAATAAGAAACAAGGCTTGGATCTCACATCCATTGAAGAAAGTGGCTCTGTGGAAGAGAGTACTCTCTGCAGGCACCCCCTGGCTGGACAGGACATGGTGGCTTCTCTTTTGGCAGCCCTTGAGTGTCAGCACAACTTCAGGCTTCGCAGGTCTTCGAGTTTGGCTCCATGGTCTTTGTACCACTGCCCTAGGAAGTCCTAGAGGAGAGCCCAGATCCACTCTGCTTTGGATTAAGGATGTTACATTCTGCTTAATTGAATAGTTGATTAACCTCATGAATTTTTATTGCTTACTTGACTATTCTATAGTCCCTGAGGGCAGGGCCAACAGCCAGTGCACACCGGCCCCATTCCAAGGATCCCCCTGCCACTCCGCGCTGCTGCCTCTGTATCAGAGGCAGCAGCACAGGGTGTCAAGAGGGAGCTGGTCCGTAAGGGGAGCCAGTTTAAAAAACAGCTCCCCTCATGGACCAGCTGCCTGTTGCCCATACTACTGCCTCTGTGGCAGGAGCCCTTGTGCGGGGAGGGAGGCGGGGGCTGAGCTCCCAGACCTGGCACGAGCCCCAACGGAGCTGGGCTCCCTGCCCATCTGCCTTCAAATTCACATTAAATGAAGAGCCACAGTGGAAGTAGGTCCCGGACCCAGCACTAGCCATGACTGAGCTGGGTGCTGGCCAGCCTGCTAAAAAATGTATTGGAGGGGTGAGGGAGAGAAATGCATGTAGTGTATAGCATTAACCGATAAGCTTTTGTTTATTGGTTAATAGACTATACTATTACATCCCTACTTTGGATTTCAGATCAGGAACCAGATAAAGCCTATTTCTAGACATTCTCTGGTCTGTCCCCTAGCTACTTTCTACCATGGCCCACAGCTAAGACTCTTCTCTCACCATATTCCTCGGCTGGCACTTTTCCACTCCCAAAATGGGAACCAAATTAGTTAAGAGAAATAAAGGAAACATAAAGGTCCTGCACCAGGCCTGCCTGCCCCCAGGAAGCTCAGATACTTTGGAGGCTCCAGGTTTGACTCTGACTCTGGCTGAGCCTAATTTCGTGAACTAGCCTGAGAGGGCCTCCCTAGGGATGTTAAATGTTGATTAATTGAATAATCATGTAACTGCATCAGATTTTAGCAGTTACAGGACTATTCCTGCCTCCCTGCCATGCTGGTGCCTCTGATAGAGAGGCAGCAGTATGGGGGGAGGGGGAGCTCCCTATGGACAGAGACTGCTCTGCAGTGGTCTCCTCTATATTTCTCCCCAGCACCACCACCACCACCACTAGTGGTGGTGCACATCTGCGCTTGCCTTGGTGCACATAACATTTATTCCACACATGAATTGGAAAAAAAAATAGAGGGGACACTGCTCCTTGCTCTGTCCCCCCAGTCTCTAACTGGTAGGATTTTAGCCTTTCTGCTACATACATGTAGAAACAAAACTGATTCAAAAAAGTACTGGGAAAAGACACTTTCATGTCTTTAACTTTGTGGTGTGTGTCTTTCGATCTTTTTTTCTTCCTTTTTGTTATGCTTTTGTGTAATGAACTTAAGTCATTTTCTTACTCCCAGCAGTCTGTTGTGTTGTCAGACTCCAAAAAGCAAACAACTTTCTCTTGGGGGGGGAGAAACACAAAGAAGAAATCTCAAATCATGAGTAACTGAAAGAGAAGATGATAGTTTGACTCTGTTTATTCTGCCTTCTCCTTTCACACAAGCTGCTGGAATTCTGGCCCTACAGCATCTTAAATCAGCTTCATCTAAAAAAAGGGACCTGCCATGTAAGTGACTAATTATACAAGGATCTTGTTTTATAAGAGGGAAAAGTCGATGCAATATCTGGTAGATTTTTAATGAGTGTGTCAATTTTTGTTTTGAAAGCCCAATTATCTCATAATGCATTGCTGAGCATGTTAAGTGTCCTTTGATTGATTGATCTCTCTTCTCTGAGGTGGAGATGAGAGTAAAATATACATTGTCGGGGGTGGGAGCTGACTATCAGGTACTCTGGAAAAGACTGAAACCATGAATGCTATTCTTTCCTTTCCTCCTACTCCAAGTGGCTGACTGAATTATTTTCCTCTTCCACTCATAGCCTGAACTTACTACTGAAAGCTAAGAGAATAGCATCAATAAAATTCTTCTAATATACACCTCTCTTCACCTGTTACAAGTTGCTTGGTATAAGGAATAATATTTTGGAAACTATGATTAGTCCTCAGTAATTGAAGATTGACTGAGATCTTTGGCTAACACTCTAACACACCCAAAGGGAGACTTCTCTATGGCTATTGGGATATGCTTGTAAATAAAACTGTTACCCATAAAACTTTGTCCTGCTGAGTTTCTTTTGGATTTTGCCAGGCATATTTTACTTTTTCAGAGATGTAGAAGCTGCTAAAAATATGACTACATTTTAAGCTGTCTGATAGAGATGGGATTTATTTTCTCTTTTTTGTTTAACTAATTTCTCATGAAAGGTGTGAGATCTGCTAGCAGTAGAGACACAATTCTTATAGCCAGAGAACAGGTGCAAATTGAGCAGGGCAAGCCTTTTGTCAAAAATACTGTATTTCTCTTGAGAATTTTGTCGCCTATTATTACAATCTGTAGTGTTTGCTAGATTTAGCACATTTAGTACTCAATCCTCTTGAATATGCAAGGGGATTTAGGTAGTTTATAAATTATAAATCTGTTCAGGATTTTCTCTCTACTTACCCCCCTTTTTGTAATCCTGTATGTTTTGTGCTCTCATGGGGGGAGACCTGGGGACTCTCTATCTATCTAGATTTGTATGATATGCATTGTCTAATTTTTATATTGCATTGTCAAATGTGCAAAGAAGTGTACTAAATAAATGGTTGGATACTTTTTAATGGTAAAATGTAAATTGTTCACGAGGCAGAAGAGTAAACTAAAGCCCAGACTTCAATTTAATTCGGCTTTCAACAGACTAGCTAGCCAGATTTTGCTAGCACATTTATCAACAGTTATGTTGAAGCATGGTTTTTTTAATATCAGTAAGACCAGCGCAGATGGAGTGTATAGCATGGCTTTTAAACAGTAACACAGTTCTCAGGGGAAACCTGCCCACACAGGAGAAAGGAATAGATTTTGAACTGTGCTTACATGTTTGTGGCTAGTATAGTCTTAACCTTGTCTGCACTAGTATTTATCTTCATATTTCCTACCAGCAGAGCTACCTTAGTGGTGGGAGTGCTAGTGCAGACCGATAAGTGGTAGGCACTGCACTTTTAGCCCTAATATCAGTTAGTCCTTCTTTCAGTAGGTTTAAACAGCAGGTTGAAACACTAGCAGACAGTCTACATATGTGAAACGCTAATAAAAATTCTAGGGTAGCCATAATGTGCAGAGAATCTAGAGCAGTAACCAGAATGAATGGGTGTCAGTAAAATAACAAGAATCTTGACAATCTATCTGCTAGGGGAATCCCAGAGTCTTTCTGTTCTTTTCTTTTCCTTTTTTAAATCAAGACCGAGAGAGTTTCTGCTTGTGGTAGCTTTGAAATGTGAGGTTTACAGGGAATTTTTTGTTGAGGTACAAGAATAGTATGATTAAAGATTGTGCAGTGTTCATTGAGCTACCAATGTATTTTAACACCTGAACTGATGGCACATGCTTCTTTCCGTTGCTGTGATAGCAACTGCAGTGAATTATTAAAGACTTGGTTCAAGGGAAAAGGGAGTGTGACATTACTAGTTCTGGGTGATCAGATATCTTTTGGGGTCTTTTTGTTGCTTCCTTTCCACAAGTAAATATTGAGAATAGAGAAGTGCCTCAAGTTTTTGAGGTAATGAAGAAAAGAAACATTTCAGGTTTCTTGTAGCTCTTTGTATCATTGATGTGCGCATATGAGGCAAGACATAGAACTGGATTTTAAACTGGATTTGGCTGTCACAGCAGCAATGGAAAAGATGCACATGCAGCTCTATCAACTTGCTTCTCTAGGCTTTTCACATGACAGCCCATCACTCCTCCCCCCTCCCCACCACACATGCGTGATTTTGTGTGTGTGTATGTGTGTGTGTGTTTAGAATTGATACTGGGGTATACTACCTTACTTTTTTTACATAGCTTTGACATCCGTTCAATGAAAATAATTTAACTGAGGTTTTTGCTTTTCTTAGGTGGGTTTGCTGAATTCTCCAGCTGTTTCCCTGGTCTCTGTAAAGGAAAATCAGTTCTAGTCCCTACTTGTCTTTCTCAACCTTGCTTACCTGTCTCCAACATTGGTCCAACCAGAATTCTGCCTCATCTTTACTTAGGTTGTCAACGAGATGTCCTCAACAAGGTGGGTACTTTTGAAGTTGTTATTTATTTACGGCCATGAATTTGAAACTTTCAGGAGTGGAAAGAATTGCTTAAAAACCTCGTAAAATGAGGTTTACCTAGTTTGAACTAAGCGCTCCGCTAGTTCGAATTAAGTTCGAACTAGCGGAGCGCTAGTGTAGCGCCTATCAAAGTTAATTCGAACTAACGTGAGTTAGTTCGAATTAACTTTGTAGTGTGGACATACCCTAGTTGCTGTTCTATGCACATAAACAAATTGACTATATCCCTGCCTCATTATCTGGTATGAGGACAGGAGAGCTAACTTCTTTTATGTTGAAATTCTCCCTCTCAAAATTCCAGTGTATTCCAGTTTGACAGCTGCTGTTTAGTAGGGCTATGTCTACTCTGGCGCAATCTTGTGCCAGAGCTATGCAAATGATGCTAAGCGTGAAATATCGCCGAGCCTCATTTGCATATATAATGAGCTGCCATTTTTGTGGAAGAAGCTCTTGCACAAGAAGGAGCTGTCTACACTGCCCCTTCTTGCGCAAGAAAAACCCTCTTGCACAATGCCGCTATGCTGATTATTTTCAGGAATAACGGCATTGTGCGAGAGGGTTTTTCCTGCGCAAGAAGGGGCAGTGTAGACAGCTCCTTCTTGTGCAAGAGCCTCTTCCGCAAAATGGCGGCTCATTATATATGCAAATGAGGCTCGGCGATATTCCACGCTTAGCCTCATTTGCATAGCTCTGGCTCAAGATTGTGCCAGTGTAGACATAGCCTAGGTGTTTAAATATTGAGCTGTGAGAACTATCTAAGACCCAAATAAGGTCTCTTCTCCCTCCTCCATCCCCCCCACACACTTCCATAACATGTTAGCTTTTCACCCAAGTAGGAAATGTCCAGTTTCATATGCATGTAAAAACTTAAATGTGTGAGAACATTTTTTTATTTCAGTCTTAACAGGCCTGTAATTCTATCACACTTAGATCCCTTTACCATAATTAGATTCTTTCCGGTTCCTTCTGTTTCTCTCTGCTTTCTGGTCTGTTTTTAATAAGGTATTGGTCATGGCTTTTTAGATCCATTGTTTTAATGGAATCCTTGCAGTAGAGGTAGTTTACTGGTTGCTTTTTTTCCTTAACACATAAAGAAAGCAGCCAATATGGATAGTCTCTGGTTCTTGTATTCACTGTAGAAATTTCTTTTTAATCTTGCACATACTTTACTGTGCAACAAGCCAATAGTTTAGACCTGACTTATTTTTGGTTGCTGTCTGCGCAATAATTGTTTTTTCTTAGCATGAACGTTCTTAGTGGCCTTAGGACAGTTGAAACTGACAGGTTTTTTTTTCCCCTTGCCACAAGCCCAGAGGACTTCTTAAGAGGCTTTATTTACTATTCTGTTTTAAATACATGGTGCTATTCTGGTTCTCAAGAAAGGACACATCATATATTCATGATCAAGGTCCCTGTATTCAGGATGAGGATCAACTCCTGCTCTCATATTACCCATCTGGTTCTGAGGTTCTAAGAGCTTTGCCATATGTTACTCCTATAGCCGCTGTAAGCTGGGGATGTAATAGTGTAGTCGATTAACCCAGTGGTCCCCAACCTTTTGGGGCTGCCGGGTGCCTGGGGGCGGGGCCACACATGCGCCCAGGGGTGGGGCCACCCATACGCTGTGTGCCTGGAGCTGGTGCCACCCATGCGCCACACTCCCGGGGCTGGCGCCGCAACTGTGCTGCAAGTCAAGGGGTGGGACTGCCCACTGGGGATGTAATAGTGTAGTCGATTAACCCAGTGGTCCCCAACCTTTTGGGGCTGCCGGGTGCCTGGGGGCGGGGCCACACATGCGCCCAGGGGTGGGGCCACCCATACGCTGTGTGCCTGGAGCTGGTGCCACCCATGCGCCACACTCCCGGGGCTGGCGCCGCAACTGTGCTGCAAGTCAAGGGGTGGGACTGCCCATGTGCTGCGCGTCCGGGGCCGGAACAGCCCATGTCCTGTGCGT